AAAACTGAAATGGCTGTGAAAGTCTGACTCATAGACGAACACAATACAGAAGCCTGATGATAGCAGATGAGATTCTGCCAAAACATTGCTACAATTTTAAAAGCACAACTATAATGACATGGGAAAATACCTGAACAAAGCTGAATGCCATACATGTAAGTACCCGCGAAAACTTAAGAATATATAGATATAGATATAGATGTTTGATGATTGCGGGATTTTGGGACTTTTGGGGAAATGATGGCAGTGTTCTAATATCTCAGGGGTTGCCACAAAGAAGAGGAAATCAACCAATTCCCCAAAGCACCTGAGAGTTGGACAAAAAGCAATGGATTGAAAATAATCAGGAAGAGAAGCAATCTAAAACTAAGTAAAAATTCCCTGATAGTTAGAACAATTAATCAGTGGAACAACATTTTTATTTTTTATTTATTTTATTTTGTCAAGCAATTATAAGATAACAAGCATAAATATAAACATAGTTATGAAAACATGAAATGGATACGAATAAGAAAAATAAAAAGAAACAATAAGACAGGGCTGGTAGGCACGTTGGTGCATTTATGCACGCCCCCTACAGACCTCTTAGGAAAGAGGTGAGGTCAATAGTAGACAGTCTAAGGTTAAAATTTTAGGAGTTTGGAGAAGAAACCACAGAGTCAGGTAGAGTATTCCAGACATTGACCACTCTGTTGCTGAAGTCGTATTTCCTGCAATCAAGTTTGGTGCAATTAACCTTGGGTTTGTATCTATTGTTTGCTCTTGTGTTGTTATGGTTGAAGCTGAAGTATTCATTGACAGGTAGGACATTGCAATGTATGATTTTACATACTATACTTAGATTGGACCGAAGGTGGCATAGTTCTAGGTTTTCTAAGTCTAGAATTTCAAGTCTGGTGGCATAAGGTATTCTGCAACGTGCAGAGGAGTGGAGAACTCTTCTTGTGAAATATTTCTGGACTTTCTCAACTGTGTTAATATCAGATACGTAATGTGGGTTCCAGACTGATGAGCTGTATTCGAGTATTGGTCTAGCAAATGTTTTGTATGCTCTAGTTATTAGTGTAATATTACCAGAGAAAAAGCAATGTAATATTAGGTTAACAACTCTTAATGCCTTTTGGGCTATGTAGTTACAGTGGGCTCAAGCACTTAGATCATTATAGATGAGTACTCCAAGATCCTTGATAGAGTTTGGATCATCAGCAAGGTCTTGACTATTCAGCCTGTATTTTATTTTCTGATTTTTTTTTTGCCAATATGTAGGACAGATCATTTATTTGTTGAGATTTGAAGTTGCCATTTGTTTGACCATTCTGATACATATTCAAGGTCTTTTTGAAGGGTAGCAGTATTGTCTGTGATGCTGAATAGCTTTACATCATCAGCGAAGAGAATGTAGTTGCTCTTGATATGATCATAGACGTCATCTATGTAGAGTATGAAAATAGTTGGAACACTGCCTTGGAGGAATGTAATAAGGGAATTGCCTTAGGGAAATGTAATAAGAATGTAATAAGGGTTAACAGAGAGGCAGTTTCTGTAAACAACACCAGAATGTTTCCTTCCTGCCTTCCTGACAGGATTAGGCCAGTAATTTCTTTTAACAACCAGTTCTCCGAACTGCTTAGAATGTTAACAACCGGTTCTAGCGAATAGGTCCAAACTGGTAGAACCCTACCCCTGGAAATAGCAAAAATCAATCCTCATTGGACAGATCCAGGATCTGTGGCTCAGTCAAGTTAAAGAGTTGCTCTGAAGAAAAGAAGGTTCTTGCTTGGCTTCAGATTCACTTCCTCTCACTGTGTCTCTTGCACAGTAATAGACTGCCGTGTCTTCAGCTTTGAGGCTGTTCATTTGCAGATACAGCTGGCTTTTGGCATTGTCCCTGGAGACAGTAAAGCGTCCCTTCACTTTGTCTGAGTAGTTGATATCACTGGAATCATCGTTTATGTAGGACAGCCATTCCAGTCCTTTCCCTGGTGCCTGTCTCACCCAGTACATGCCATAGCTGCTGAAGGTGAATCCAGAGGCTTGGCAGGAGAGACGGAGGGACTCTCCAGGTCTTCTCACATCCCCTCCAGACTCCACCAACTGGACTTGAGACTGGACTCCTAAAAGGATTTTTAAAAAATCAGGTCTCTTGCATACAAGAACAGAACATGAAAATAAACTTTACATAAGGGAAATAATTACCTTTGAGGACTACTAGTAAGGACACAAGGTTAAACCACATTTTTGCTCCTCTAATGAATAGATGAAATCAACAGGAGAGGTTTCAGGAAATAGCACAAAGTTTATGTTGGTGGGTGTTGTCTGAAGAGGGAAACCATGGGACTCTTTAAAGGGGAAATTGTTCCTCGATTTACATATCTGTTGGGATAAAAGAGCCTCAGGGCATTGGCTAATATATTTAATTGCACATAATTTTCATATGCATTTTGCAATTAGCATTCCAATCCTTAGAAAAGGGTTCAGATCTATTTTTCCCCTCTGGGTTAATAGAAAAAAGGGCCAGTTTATTGTACATGAACTGAAAGTAACGCCTGGAAAATTTCACCCCATTCTTAAAATGATTCCAGATATTAGAGAATAGACTTACTTGTTACAGATTGGCTCGAACATCAGAGTTAGAAAGTTTGCTACAAAATTGCTTCCTTAGCCTTTGTTTATTTTATGGAACAGCCCAAACACATTAAATGGCAACTGAGCTTTAAGGAACACTTTGAATGTTAGACTGATTGATCCACTCTACTCAGAAACGTAAGACATGGTGTCATAGACATAGTGAACATAACTTGCATGTGCATTGTTCAATTAACATTCTACTCCTAAGAATAGCATTCAGACTGATTTTTCCCCTTATGAGTTAATAGGAGAAAGAACCAATTTGTTGTACTTTAAGTAAAGAAAAGCCTGAAAAATTCAAGAGCTTCTCAAACTGACAGATCATATTAAAAGGCTACAATATCAGAGTTAGAATGTTTGCTACCAGATTGCTTCCTGAACCTTTCCTTATTTTATGGAACATCCCAAATATATTAAATGTCAGCTGACTTTTAAGGAACACTTTGGATACTAGACTAATTGAATCCACTCAACTCAGAAACTTAAATCATAGTGTGATCAAATACAGCCTCTCAACTGAAACAAAATGATAAACAATTATCTTTGTATTATCAAAAAAAAAATGTTTGCTGTAGGTTATCTGGTGCAAACAGATAATGACTTCTAGTAGGATTATACTCTCTTGAGATACTAAGTTCTTTTGAATTCCATTTAAAGAACCTTTAAAATCTGGATTGTTGTATATATTTGTTTCTGTAAAATATTAGCTGTTTTATATGGTCACTAAATAAGACAATAGGTCCTTTCATGTTATTTCTATTTCCATGAAAGATTTGAAATACCTTGGTAAGTTTTATATTGAAGTCTCCGGCTGTGGTCTATATTCTTGATAACATTTCATTGAGTTCTTACAAAAATAAAATAAAAAGTATCCAGCCTCTAAAATATCTAATGACTGTTGTTTTAATTACCTTCCCCTCTCCCACCAGGTCCATAGGCAATGAGATTTCATGTAACAGCATTGCCCCCCAGTGTCAAAAATGAGGAATATTCTCCGAGAAGATTCTTTGGGTCCAGATGTTTCCTCAATAGGTGAATGGCAGTTTAGATGTTTAGAAATATTACCCTGAAGTTTCATTTCTAGGCTTCTACCAAGATACTGTAGAAAGTTAGCATCCACCCCTTTCCTAGAAGAATGAAATATTTTGAGAAATATTAAAAAGGCAGAATATTTCCCTAAAGAGAAAACATGCTCTTGAAAAGCAACCCCCCTCCCTTTCTTAATAGCCTCAGAAAGATTGGGCCAGCTCATCTATAAGATGAAAGACCTTCAGCCTCAGGGTGATGGGATTAGCCCTCACTCAAGATCTAAAGCAGGACAAAGCCATTAAGACAAAATACTAATTGCCCAACACCTTTCAGAATACAAGCCTCTTCATTACATCATCATACTCCAAGCTTCAACCAAACCTGGGAGCTCAGACAACCTCAAACCCATGCACAGTCCATGGGAATCTGACAGTAATCAAAAGAATACATGCTCTTGCCACAGGAACAGGAAGCTCAAGGGTATAAAAGGGTATAAAGCTCAAGATAGGGTATAAATAACCCTCACACTCCACTCCAGGTGGTCAGCTGCCCAGGACCTCAAACCTATGTGGGTTCATCAATAAACCATCTTTCCAATCAGCCTCCATGTTTCCAGTTTCTTTCTCCCCACTTGGAACCAAACCAGGTAGATATTTCTTATAACAACACTAAAGGACAATATTCCATTCCATATTTTTTTTCCTGAAGAATGATAAACTTGTAAACAGGGAATATGAAATTTAAATTTTCAAGCCATTTCCATCATCTTACATATTCTTACAGCAAACTCTCCAATTGAGTATCTAGAAGGTGATCAATCTTAATTGGCTAATCAAAGATCTCAGGCAGGATTTGTATTTATGTTTTATCTGTTTTACATGTTCACTGAATATTATAGTAAAATCATTTACTTTTGCTTTCATTCCCAGGAAAGGATTGAAATACCTTGACGCATTCTCTGCTCACAAACACCAATAGTAAATTATTTTATACCAATTCTTGGCTTCCCTATGAGCCTTCTACCCTCTTGAGATGCCAAATTTTGTTACGACTCAGTGAATTATAATGGAAATAGCAAAAATCAATCCTCATTGGACAGATCCAGGATCTGTGGCTCAGTCAAGTTAAAGAGTTGCTCTGAAGAAAAGAAGGTTCTTGCCTGGCTTCGGATACACTTCCTCTCACTGTGTCTCTTGCACAGTAATAGACTGCCGTGTCTTCAGCTTTGAGGCTGTTCATTTGCAGATACAGCTGGCTTTTGGCATTGTCCCTGGAGACAGTAAAGCGTCCCTTCACTTTGTCTGAGTAGTTGATATCACTGGAAGCAGAGTTTATGTAAGCCAGCCATTCCAGTCCTTTCCCTGGTGCCTGTCTCACCCAGTACATATAGTAGCTGCTGAAGGTGAATCCAGAGGCTTGGCAGGAGAGACGGAGGGACTCTCCAGGTCTTCTCACATCCCCTCCAGACTCCACCAGCTGGACTTGAGACTGGACTCCTAAAAAGAAAGTAATTTGTTTTAATGAGATCTCCTGCATACAAGAGCAGAACATAGAAATAAACTTTACATAAGGGAAATAATTACCTTTGAGGACTACTAGTAAGGACACAAGGTTCAACCACATTTTTGCTTCTCTAGTGAATAGATGAAATTGACAGGAGAGGTTTCACAAAAGGTTTATGTTGGTGGGTGTTATCTGAAGAGGGAAACCACGGGGATCCTTTAAAGGGGAAATAGTGTCTGAATTTACATATTTGTTGGGATAAAAGAGCAACTGGGCCATTGACTAATATATTTCAATGGACATAACTTGCAGTTAAGATTTCAGTCCTATGAAAAAAGTTTGGACCCCTTTTCCACCTTATGAGTTAATAGGAAAATGAATTGGTTTGTTGTACATTAACAAAAATAAAAGCCTGAAACATTTCTGCCCTTCTCAAAATGATTCAAGCTTTTAGAGACTAAATCTACCAGTTACAGATTATTTAAAAAGGTTAGAATGTTTGCTATGAAATTGCTTCCTTAATCTTTATTTTCTGGAACATCCCAAACACTTTAAATAGCAATTAAACTTCAAGGAACACTTTAAATGCTAGACTAGGTGGGTCCAGTCAAATCAGAAACTTAAGTCATAATGTGACCAAATATAGTCTCTCAATTCAAACAGAATGATAGATAATTAACTTTGTATTATTTAAAATACTGTGTTTGCTGTAGATGGTCTGGTATATAAACCCAGGCATGGCTTCCCAGTAAGAATTGTACTCTCTTGAGATGCTATGTTCTTTTGAATTCCATTGAAAGAAACTTTAAAATCTTCTGGATTGTTGTATATATTTGTATCTATAAAATTTTAGCTATTTTATATGTTCACTCAATAAGACAATATGATTCTTTCAAATTGTTTTCATTTCCCAGAAAGATTTGAAATACCTATGTAACTTTCTCTGGTGACAAAAACCCCAAATCCATCTTTTTATAACATTTTTCAGTTTCATATTGAACTCTCCTGCTATGTCATATTTTCTTAAAAACTTTGCAATGAATTGTTACCAAACCGCCCCCCCCCAAAAAAAAACAAAACTATCCAACCTCCATTGACAGTTGTTTTAATTCCCTTCCCCATCCCCATCAGGAGCATCAACAATGGGATTTCATGCAATAACATTGTCACCCAGAGTCAAAAACGTGGAAGGAAGCATGCTCCATATTCTTCAAGGAGATTCTTTTGGTACAGATGTTTCCTCAATAGGTGAATGACAGTTTAGATGTTTAGAAGGTTTGTCTTGAAGTTTAATTTCCAGGCTTCTGCCATGATACTAAAAGACAAAATTCCATTCTATTTTTTTTTCCTGAAGATCGATCACTTTGTAAACAGGGAAGATGAAACTGGAATTTCCAAGCATTTTCATCTTCTTACATTTTCTTACAGCAAACTCCCTAACAGGATATGTACATGCAAAAGAATCCTAATGTTCTCACTCAATGGGGATCAGTCTTAATTGGCTAATCAAGGATCTGAGGCTTAGTCAAGCTTAAGAGCTTCTCTGAAGAAAGGAAAGTTCTTGTTTGGCCTGAGATTCTCTTCCTTTCACTGAGTATCTTGCACAGTAATAGACTGCCATGTCTTCTGGTTTGAGGCTGTTCATTTGCATATACAGCTGGCTTTTGGCATTGTCCCTGGAGATGGTGAAGCGGCCCTTCACTTTGTCTGGGTAGTAAGTGCTTGAACCGGTGTTCACATATGCCACCTATTCCAGTCCTTTTCCTGGAGCCTGTCTCACCCAGTTCATTCTGTAGCTGCTGAAGGTGAATCCAGAGGCTTGGCAGGAGAGACAGAGGGGCTCCCCAGGTCTCCTCACATCCCCTCCAGACTCTTCCAACTGGACTTGAGAGTAGACTCCTAAAAAGAAAAGGATTGTCTTTTTAATGAGATCTCCTGCATAGAGGAGCAGAAATAAACTATATAGTAGAAATAATTACTAGCAAGGACACCAGCAAGGATTACTAGCAAGGACACCAGGCTTAGCCACATTTTTGGTCTCTAATGAAAGGAAGGAAGTGTCAGGAGAGGATTCAGGAAATAGCACAAGTTGTGGGAGTGGTCTGAGAATAGGGCTCGTTTAAAGTAGAAATTGGGTCTTTATATATCTGTTGGGATAAAATAGTCCCTGGAGGAATTGATGAATACATGTCTGTGAGCATTACTTGTATGTGCATTTTCCAATTAATATTGCAGTCCTAAGAAAATAGTTGGCAATCATTTTTTTTCCTGTGAGTTAATAGGAAAAAGATCTTGTTTTCTGTAATTAAGTAAAATAAAGGCTTGAAAAATTTCATCACTTCTCAAATGATTAGATGTAATAGAGAATAACATTATTTATTAGGGAGCATATAAGTAGGCTAGCACATCTGAGTTAGGTTGTTTGCAACAAGAGTGCCAAGTAGTTGGATGTACTCAACTCACAAAGTAATTAAGTCATATTGTTACCAAATGCACTCTCAAACTTCCAATACAATGATAAATATTTCTCTCTCTTTTTAAAAAAAATACAGTTTTATTTGGGTTTTCACACATACAAAATACAAGTAAAACATCGTTTTTGAAAATAGCATGGTCCTGGGTTGAACTTCTTTATATAGACACAAAATGAAGTTTCATGCTCCTTTTTGTATTCTATTCCATATCTTATACTATTTTACATTTTCTATATAGTTTTTCCCCTCTTTTAGTTTTCTCAATTTTATTTTGACTATCTCATCTCAGTTCAAATCATTATATTTATACTTTTATCTGTTCTGTTTCAATTTCATATTATCTTTTCTCATTAAACACATTTTCTCCTGTAGTTACTAATTGGACTATGACACCTTTATCTCTTTTAATTACATCCATTCAACTCTTATTTAAACTTCAATATATACCTTAAGGTTATGACCTTCAATATAATACATAATATATAACTTCCAACTACTATCTTATGTACCTTTGCAGAATCCCTTTTTCCATTAAGTTTTCACCCATTATCTCTAAATAGGCCCTGTTTCTCTATATTTTGCTTCTGTCCTTTATAACTTCTTTTCCTTTCTTTCTTCCCTCTCATCTTCTCCCTCCCCCTTTCCCCGCCTTGTCTCTCTAGTTCTAATTCTCTCTTCTGCATTTCCCTCTTCTGTTGCTTTCTGATTTTATATTTATTTTTCACTCTATTTTTTTTTGAGTTGTTTTTCCCAATCTTAAACTTTTCATTCTCTTCCCCCCCCTTTCCTTCCCCCCCCCATCTAAGGTTACTTGTTCATTAAAGATGGCTTCTTCTTTGTCACAATCTTCTTGTTCTGCAGGCATTTCTTGTTGTTTCTCATAATTCTAAATCTCCATTTCTAAAAACTGAAATACGAAGCCAAAAGAACCTCTCCCTTTTTTGTGCATCTTCTTTGTACTTTTTAAGTTCCATTTTTAGTTATTCTAAAAGTGGAGCCATTTAAAAATTTTTGAACAACCACATGATTGATTTTAGGCATTCAAAACAATAACCAAATATCCAGAAATCATCAAGTAATCCAGATAGTCCCAAGTTATATCTTCTTATTTCTTTTTTGACTTTCTCTTCCTGGGGTTTTTGTTGCAATATTTCAGTTAGAATGTATCTTTTGGAAGTCTTGTTTGCTGTAAGTTCTTTTTAATTCCAGGCAGTCTCCTCCCTTCCAGATCCTGCCCTTTTATTTTTTTTCTCTCCTTTCCTCTTTTCAAAAGCTTTTAATTATCCAGAAATCTTTATTATCCCTTTGACTTTTTATTTTCTTACATTAAATGCCTATTAATGTCAAAGTGGATTTTTTTCCAATTTCTTGCTTAAACCTCTTTGCTGTCAGTATAGGAAAAGGAGAAAAATAAACCAAATATTTTCCCTTTTCTCTCTCCTTCGCAGCTTAAAAATCTTCAGGAACAATGTTATTGTTTTTTAATAGTTTCAATTCCAGGATATCTTATTTGTTGCTTTTGACCCGGTCAACCAAAACTTTCTCTTCTTATCTTCCTCCTGCACATTCTTTTCCAGTTGAGTTCTTCTTTGTGGTGGCCATTTCTGACCCTGCTACAACCGCCTTAGGGAAAGGGAGTAATGGCCAGCTGGGGAGGAGAGATGTGGCTCTCCTCAACCCTGCAGGCAGTCTCCCCCTTCTTCACCACCTCTACGGGGTGGCTTAGCCCCAGCTTAGCTGGCTGGGGGCGCTCCAGTGGCGAGCACAGATCAAAGCCTTGCAGAGATGATGTTTTGGTCTGTTGCTGAAGAAACTCAAACCGGAAGTCCGATAAATATTTCTCTTTGTGTTATCCAAAATATTTTGTTTGCTCCAGGTTATCTGTTGTAAATCCAGTCATGGCTTCCCTGTAAGGATTTTAGTCTCTCAAGAAGTTAAGTTCTTTTGAGATCCATTGAAATAAATTTCTGGATTGGGGTATATATTTCTGTACATAATGTTTTAACTGTTTTACATGTTCAATGAATATCAATCCCTTTATTTTGTTTTTATTTCCCCATAAATATTTGAAACAACTAGACCTAGACCAACAATTTACCTTTTTATAAAAACTCTCAGCTTCATAGCGAATATTGCAGCCTCCTGATATGTGAAAGTTGCTTAACCAATTCAGCGAATTATTACAGAAATAAAATTAAAAAAATGTCAGCACTCTAAATGACAGTTGCTTTATTCCTCTACCTCACCTGCACAGGTGTATAAATGGGATTTAACGTAGCAACATTGCCCCCCAGTGTCAAAAATGAGGAGGGAGGTATATTCCCAATTCTCCAAGTAGATCTTTTGGTCCAGATGTTTCCTCATTATATGAATGGCAGTTGGAATTCTACACGATTCTTCCTAAAGTTTCATTTCCAGGCTTCTGCCATAATACTAAAGGTTAATATTCCATTCTATTATTATTTTTTTCCTGAAGATCAATCACTTTGTAAACTGATGAAACTGGAATTTCCAAGCCATTTTCATCATCTTACATTTTCTTACCACAAACACACTTAATTAGATATATAGAAGAAAAGACTCTGGATTAAGAAGGTGATCAATTTTAATTGGCTAATCAAGTGTCTGTGGTTGGGTTTATATCAATGTTTAACTGTTTCACATGTTTACTGACTATGATAATAAAACCCGTTCTTTTTTTTTTTTTTTCGTTTCTAGAAAAGATTTGAAATACCTAGGTAGTTTATCTGGTGACAAACAGCAATGACAGATTACAAAAATTCTCAGTTCCTGGTGAGCATTTTACATTCCTGAGGTGGAAAAAATTATTGAGACATTTTTAGTGAATTATGTCTGAAATAACAAATAATTATCACTATTCCCAAATTCGACAATATATAATTTATAAGTTTTATTCCCAAGCAAAACTCCTTTGGCTACTTAGGCAATTGGATTTTGCATGACAATATTGTCCTTTATGGTCAAAAGTAAGGAGAAAGCCACGTTTTAATTCTTCATGTTGTAGGTCAGGGGTGTTAAACTTATATTTTTTTTCTCTTTACATACAATAAGCACTTGGTGAATAGAGTACTGTCTGGGTCAATCTGTTACATAATAATGCTTTTTCAGTCCCTAGTTTCTACTTCTATTATCCAACCATTGTTAAAACAAGTCCCAAATTCGAAAATATCCTGTGTCTTCTTTTTCTTTTATCTTCAGTGTTAGTCTATCCATTTCTGCAAAGTCTAGTATTTTTTAAATTATATCTTCTTCCGTGAGCGTTTCCTCATTTTTCCAGTATTGAGCAAATGCAATTCTTGCTGCTGTCAAAATGTTTAATACTAAATATACGTTCCCTTTATCATATTTTTCTGGTATTATGCCTAATAAAAATAGTTCTGGCTTATAATCAATATACTGCCTTAACATTTTTTCTAACCACGTATGCACTTCCATCCATTTTTTTTCATTTTTCTTTTGGATACATCCACCCTATCTGATAATATATGCCTGGTATTTGATTAAGTTTCTGAGTTTCATATTGAAGTCTCCTGAGATGTAAAATTTTCTTGAGAACTTCTGTTTTAATTATTATAGTAATAAAATAAAAAAAGTTTCTGGCCTCCAAAGTATCTAATGACAGTTCTTTTAATTCTCTTCCCCACCCCCACAAATTGCCTCAATAATGGGATTTCAGGTAACAGCATTGCCCCCCAGTCAGGGGTGGGATGCTACTGGTTCGGCCTGGTTCTATAGAACCAGCAGCTGTGAAGAGCAGCTGACACTGAACCAGATTGGTATTTGGCCCACCTGCCTGCCTCTAGGCTGTCCTTTATTCCCTGCTTTTCCCTTCTCAGCTGCTTTGTGTGGCACAGCTGAGGTTGAAAAAGCAGGAAACAAGGGGATTTTCAAATGCTGCACACCCGAGCACAGCGCTTGTCAGCTGTCCTGGTAGCACAGCTAACGATTTCTTGCAAATGCTGCATGCATGATTCGCTCCACTGGCTGGGATCTCCCCGCCCACTCATTACTTACCTGGCATACGAGCCATCCAACTTGCCTGGTTTGGTAAGTTGTTAATTTTCCTCCCCACCATTAGTTGTTCTGCTCTGCCAGGAGATTTAGATTAGCTAGAAAGCAGAAAATGCTTGGATTTCTTGATTTCTAGCTAATCTAAAAGCAGTACCAAACCGTCCTTAGGACTGAAGCTTTTCAGGGCAGACTCAGGTAGCCGATTGCTGATAGATAGATCTCTAAGTTAATCTGTGATTCTGTGAGCAACTCAATCTGCCTGCCTGCTTTGCCTGATTTTGGGTAAAAGTTCCTCTTTTTTAAATAAAAAAATTCAATATTTACATACATGGTGTCTTGTGATTTAATTCTGTGAGTTTGCTTGCTAGCAAATGTTATGCATTTTCTTGCAAGCAAATTTTTTTTTAAACAAATTTTATTGATTTTCCAAAACAATACACAGACAAACAAAACATAAAATATAATGACATAAGAATTTTTTTTCTTAAAAAGCCAATACAACATCTTATTTAAAGACAGAATTATTCCAAGTTATCACATTTCCAAACAAGCACAATTTGATATATATACTTACCTTATCTGTTCATCTTCATATCTATCCCAAACTTCTCTTTATTACTTCCTTTCCTTCTATTTATTCAAATTATATCTCTTTAACTTTAGATTGTATACATTTTTTATATCCGTCTTATACATTTTCATTATTCTCTTCCAATACAAAAACAAACAAGACATAAAACATAAAAACATAAAAACATAAAACATCTTTTCTGAAAGTTGCTTGATCCCGGGTTAAAACTCATCATACAGACGCCCCTTCAAAAATCATGTTCCTTTTATATATCATTCCATATCTTATTACCGTTTTCCATTTTCTATATAGCTTCTTCCTTTTTTTAACTCTCTTAGTTTTATTCTACTTATCTCAGTTCAAGTCATAATACTTAACATTCTTTGTCTGTTCTCAACTATCCATTCATTTTTTCTCTTTAAACAAAACTTCTCCTGTACACTAATTGGAGTATGACGCCTTTAACTCTTTCCCCTAACCTAATAATGCTTAATGTCACACATAACTTGTATTGGGATTCTGTTTAGCACATCCTAAAGTCACACAATATATTATATAAAGAGAGAAAGAAAAAAGAAAGAACAACAATAACAAACAAATTTATAAATATATAATATAGCTAGTACCCCTGTCAAAACCATTTTAATCATACCTATTGATACTTATTTATATCTTAAACATTTTATTCTAAAAATGCCTATAATAACACAATCTTATGTACCTTACAGAATCCCTTTTTCAATTAAATTTACCCATTGTCTCTAAATAAATTTTGTTTCTTTAAATCTTGCTTCCCATTGTTGAGACTTCTCACCCCTTCCTTTCTCCCTTGCTTATTCTTTTCCTTACCCTTTTTACCCCTTTGTCTCTCCACCTCCCTTTTCTTCTTCTGCTTTCCCCCTTCCTGTTGTTTTGTAACCTTATATCCACCCTTCAACTCATTTTTATCTTTTTTGGTTGTTTTTTTAGGTTTTAAAATCCCTTTTTCCTTTTCCTCTTCCTTCTTCTCCCCCAATAGAATCACATGTTCATCAAAAATAGTTTCTTCTTTGTCCCAATTATCCTGCTGTGCAATCAATTCTCCATAGGAATGCACCGCCATTTCTAGAGATTGAAAAAGAATGTCCAAGGTATCTTTCCAGTCTTGTTCTTCCTTTTTATATTTTAGATATTCAGTTTTAGATTCATCCAAGAGTGGTGCCATTATAAAGAGGAAAATTTTTTCCCAAAACAACCACCCGAGTGTTTTTAAACAAAGAAAAAAAGTTTCCCAAAAGATGCAAAGTCACCAAACAATCCAGATAGACTATTTCATTTAGCACTTTTTCCCTTCTTCCATTTCTTTTTCTGGGGTTGCTATTAAATCACAAAATTCCAATTAAAATATGTCTTTTTGAAGTCTTATTAATGTTCAAATGGCTCTTTAAAATTCTAGACTGTCTGCTCCTTATTTTCAAATTCTACTTCAATTTTTTTCCTCTCCCTTCCCACTCACAGCAAAAGAAAAAATTTTCTTTAAATATTTAGAAATCCATATCCCTTTGGCATTAGCATAGTCTTTAGCATTTAGCATACCTTCAATGCGGGTTTTCCGATTTCTCTCAAAGCTGTTCCGTTTGGAAGGAGAGTGAAAAGAAAAAAAGTTTTCCCTTTAATATCCATTTGCTGCTTACTCAGTCTGGGAACAATGTGTCTTTAGAAGGTGTTAAATAGCAGGATACTTTCACTGTTCCTTTGTCCCGGTCAGCAAAATCACTTTCATTTCTTCACAAACTCCTCCAGCACTTCCTTTTCCCGGCTGAGCTCTTCTAAGTGGCGGCCATTAGAGACCGCCGTTCAGCTGCCATCGGAGAGGGAGATTTAGCTGGCTAGGGAAGAGAGATGCCATGTCTCTCGTCCCTGCCAGAACCCCCCAGTCTTCACCACCTTCTACAAAGGTGGCTTAGCCCCGAAGCCAAATGGCTTGGGGCACTCAGGCAGTGAACACAGGCAGAAACCGTGCACAGTCACGGATTCCTGCCTGCACCGAAGCACCACAAGCCGGAAGTCTTGCAAGCAAATTTTATGTGACAGACTCAGGTAGCTGATACCAGAGAGATAGATCTCTGAATGAATCTGATTCTGTGAGGAACTCAATCTGCCTGCCTGCTTTGCTTGATTTGGGGTAAAAGTTGCTCTTTTTTATTTTAAAAAATCAATATTTACATCAATATTTATAATATTTACATAAAAGCCATGCCCACCCAGTCACATGACCACCAAGCCACACCCATAAATTAGGGCACACCCAAAAACAGATTATTAAGAAATTTGAATCCCACCCATGCCCCCAGTGTCAAAAATGAGGAAGGACACATGCTCCAATTTTTTCCAAGGAAATGTTTTTGGTGCAGATGTTTCCTCAATAGGTTAATGGCAGTTTAGATGTTTAGAAGGTTCATTCTGAAGTTTCATTCCCAGGCTTCTGGCATGATACTAAAAGTCAATATTCTATTCCATTGTTTTCTTCAAGATTGCTCACCTTGTAAACAGAGAAGATGAAACTGGGATTTTCAAGCTGTTGTAAGATGTTACATTTCCCTCCACAAACTCTCTAATTAGATACCTAGAAGAAAAGACTCTTAAGGATCTCATTAGAAGTTGATCAATCTTAATTAGCTAATCAAAGATCTGGTACTGGATTTCTATTTACAATTTTTCAACTGTTTTACATGTTCACAGAATATGGTAATAAAATCCTTTCCTTTTCTTTTCATTTTCGGGAAGGATTTGAAGTACCTTGACACATTCTCTGGTGACAAACACTGATGATAGTTTATTTTAATACAAATTCTGAGCTTCCATGTGAGCCTTCTACCTCCCTGAGATGGCAGATTGTCTTGAGACTCTATGAATTATGATGAAAATAACAAAAAAAAATCATAGTCCTAAAATGTATATAATGTACATGTTTTATTCCCTAGCAATTTTTTTTTCATATGTTATAGGCAATTGCATTTTGTGTGGCAACATTGCCCTCTAGGGTAAAAAGTGAAGATTCTTAATTCTCCAAGGAAATTCTTTAAGAGCAAATATTCTATTTCCCCAAACTGAATTGGCAGTTTGAATTTTGAGAAAGATTATACTAAACTTTCATTTCATTTTTTTCTGACTTGCTACTAAAGGTCCACATTCCATTCCAGTGAAGGCAAAAGACAGTGTAAACAGGGAAGAAGAACTTGGAGTTTCTCATTTATTTACATCAAATTCTCTGATATCCTGAACCAAGTTCTCAGTAGACATTAATCAATCCTCATTGACTAATCCATGATCTGCATCAAGTTAAAGAGAAGCTGGGAAGAAAGGAAGGTTCTTGTTTGGCTTCCAATTCACTTCCTCTCATTGTGTTTCCAGCACTAATAGACTGCCATGTCTTCAGCTTTGAGGCTGTTCATTTGCAGATATAGCTGGCTTTCTGCATTATCCCTGGAGATGGTGAAACATCCTTTCACTTTGTCTGAGTACAACTTTCTACTGGAATCAGAGTAGATGCCTGCGACCCATTCCAGTCTTTTCCCTGGAGCCTGTCTCACCCAAACTATCTAGTAGCTACTAAAGGTGAATCCGGAGGCTTGGCAGGAGAGATGGAGGAATTCTCCTGGTCTTCTCACATCCCCTCCAGACTCTACCAACTGTACTTGAGTTTGGACTCCTAAAAAGAAATATATTTTAATGAGATCTCCTGCATACAAGTGCAGAACATGGAAATACACTTTACATAGGGGTAATAATTACCTTTGAGGACTGCTAATAAGGACACAAGGTTTAGCCACATGTTTGCTCACTCTACTGAATAGAGTACTGACAAGAGATCGTTCAGGAAATAGCACAAGATTTATGTTGGTTGGAGTCGTTTGAAAAGGGAAACCATTGGGTTCTTTTAAAGGGGAAATTGTGCCTTGATTTACATATCCGTTGGAATAAAAGAGCTACACAGGGTATTGACTAAAACATTTCTGTGAACATAAATTGCATAATTTTTCTTTTATTTGTTCAGTATGATAATATATTAGTAGTATGATATAGTATGATATGATAATATGTCTTTCTGTTTTCATATCTAGCAAAGATTTCAAATGCAAAGACATTAACACTTATGATACATCATTCTATAAAGACTGTCAGCTTTTCAGTATTAGACAGCATATAATTATATAAGATTTATTCTCTAATGCATCTCCTCTGGGTGCCTACATAATTGGATTTTTTGTAACAACTGTGTCCCCCAGGATGAAAAATGAGAAGAGGGCAATTCTCCAAGGTGATTCTTTCTGGGGAGATATTTCTCCAATGTGTGTTTGGCAGTTTGGATACATAGAACAATTATCCTAAAGTTTCATTTCCATTCTTCTGCCCTGACACTAAAGTATTCCATTCTATTCCAGTGGGTTTTTTTCTGAAGCCAAATAACCTTGTAAACAGAATAACAGAAGAAATAAAAACAGGGTTGGAGAAGAACTTGGAGGTCTTCTAGTCCAACTCACTGCTCAAGTGGAGAGATGAGGTGGCTGTACAATCTCTTCTTAAATGCTTCCAGTGATGGAGCAACCACAACTTCTGGTGGCAAGCTGTTCCACTGGTTATTTGTTCTCACTATTAAGAAGTTTCTCTTAGTTCTAGGTTGCTCCTCTCCTTGATTAGTTCCCATCCATTGTTTTTTGTCTTGTCTTTTGGTACTTTGAAGAATAGGTTGACCCTTTCTTCTTTGTTCCAACCCTTCAAATATTGGAACACTGTTATGATGTCACCCCTACTCCTTCTTTTCATTAGATTAGCCATACACAATTCATGCAACCATTCTTTGTATGTTTTAGCCTCCAAGTGCCCAATCATCTTAATAATTTCATAATATGGTGACCAAAACAATTTTGCAGTATGCCTGGCGTGGTCTTACAAATCACTTTATAAAGTGATACTTCATGTAATCTTGATTCTAGCCCTTTGTTAATGCAGCCTAGTATTGCATTGGCTCTTAAACAGATTGATGACCTTGAAATTTTCTTACAGCAAATTCTCTGATACCTAGAACAAAACAGTCCTACCTGAAGCTCTCAAAGACAATAATCAATACACATTGACTAATCCAGGACCTGGAACTCAATAAAGTTGAAGAGTTTTTGCTTGGCTTCAGATTCACTTCCTCTCACTATGTCTCTTGCACAGTAATAGACTGCTGTATCTTCAGCTTTGAGGCTGTTCATTTGCAGATACAGCTGGCTTTTGACATTGTCCCTAGAGATGGTGAAGCGGCCCTTGACTTTGTCTGAGTAGTAAGTACTTGAACCAGCAGTTATCAAGGCCACCCATTCCAGGCCTTTCCCTGGAGCCTGTCTCACCCAGTGCATCTCTTAGCTGCTGAAGGTGAATCCAGAGGCTTGGCAGGAGAGACGGAGGGACTCCCCAGGTCTTTTCACATCCCCTCCAGACTCCACCAACTGGACTTGAGAGTGGACTCCTAAAAAGAAAGGAGCTTTTTAAATAGATCTCTTGCATGCAAGAGCAGAACATAGAAATAAACTATATAGTGTCAATACCTTTGAGGACTACAAGTATGGACAGAAGGTTTAACCACATTTTTGTTAGTAGATGAAATTGATAGGAGAGGATTCTGGAAATAGCACAAGGTTTATGTTGGTGGGAGTTGTCTGAAAAGGGAAACCATGGGGCTCCTTTAAAGGGGAAATTGTGTCTTGATTTGCATATCTGTTGGTATAAAAGAGCCCCACAGGACATGGATTGATACATTTCAGTGAATATAACTTGCATGTGCATTTTTCAATTAAGAAAAGGATTGGGACATCATTTTTCCCCTGTGAGTTAATGGGGGAAAGGACAAGTTTATTGTATGAAGAAAAATAAAGGCTTGGGGGAAAAAATCATATCTTCTCAAAATGATGCAAGGTAATTGAGAATAAACTTATTTATTACTGAGGACATCCATAGGTAGCACAGTGGTCCCCAAACAGTGGGCCAGGGACCACTGGTGGTCTGAGAGAAAATTTTGGTGGTCCACAGAGAAATGTCACCCCTGAAGCACCCCCCAAAGTAATTAATCCAGGCTACATGGGAATACAAGGCTATGCCGCTCATATGGCCCACAGGAACATAAGGCTTGCATCACTTGTATTTCGAACAAATTAGGTAATGAGGGGAAGGGGGAAAGAGCAGAGGGGAAAATTGCCCCACTTGCCCCACACACCTCACCTGGCCATAGGGCTGCTTCTTTTCACTTCTTTCTTTTTCTGCTTTTGGCTGCATGCAAGGAAAGCAACAAAAGTCTTCCTTTCTCTCTCCCAAACTCCACCAGAAATGAGTCTTTGGGACCTTGCAAGGCATCCTGCTCCAAGAGGCTATTCCAGCAAAGATTCATTTCTGGTGGAGTTTGGGGGAGAGAAAGAAAGACTTCTGCTGCTTCTGCTGCTTTCCTTGCATGAAGCCAAAAGTTCTCTCTCTCTCTTTCCCTCTGAGCTGGAGACGATATCCTGCACCCAAATAAAGAATGATCGATCGGTAGGAAAACAGGTCCCATTTAATATGATATAGATTTTCGAGTGGCTATTTAAGGATGAGCAGTCCATAATTACAGTGCAGGTGGCTACATTCTGTGAACCTTGGAAACATGTGTTTAATCCACCAGAGTTGCTATATACAACAAATGTGGCAAACCTGTTGCACTGTTTATACTTTTCCCTTTTAGTATTAAACTTACAGTGGGCCACCCAGTTTATGGAATGTAATTTTAGCATAGTTAGACCATCTATAATTGAGAGATTGGATTTTATCATAGACTTTAGGTGCACGAAGGGAGGCTCATCAATCTCATTGTACACAGGACAATAAAGGCAATAATAAGTTATTTATTATTTTATACTATGACTGTAATAAACAAAATCAAATTGATATCAATTTATTCAGACCTTCCCAATCCTAGTTTAAAAAAAAGAAATTTCTATAACTGCATAAATTTGAGAGCTACTCAAAGATAGAGAAAGTTCTTGACTAGTTTCAGATTCACTTCCTCTCAATCTGTCTCTCACACAATAATAGACTGCCCTGTCCTCCTGTTTCAGATTGTTCAATTGCAGAAACAGCAGACTGAAGGAATCATCCCTGGAGATGGTGAAGTGGCCCTTGACTTTGTCCGAGTAGTGGATTGGAGATGAGGATGTACCTATATCTCCAACCCATTCCAGTCCTTTCCCTGGAGCCTGTCTCACCCAGTCCATGTAATAGCTGCTGAAGCTGAATCCAGAGGCTTGGCAGGAGAGACAGAGGGACTCCCCAGGTCTTCTCACATCCCCTCCAGACTCCACCAACTGGACATCAGATTGGACACCTAGAAAGAAAGTTCTTTCAATAAGCTCTCCTTTATAAAAGAACAACTCATGAAATTATTCTTAATAGGGGCAAGACAGTTACCTTGGAGGACTGCTAGTAAGGACAGCAAGTTTAGGCACAAAATCATATTTGCTTCCTTGTAAGGAATGGAAGAGAATTGATAGAAAAAATAGGGGAACAATGCACAAAGTTTGTGTTGGTGAATGCAGCCTTAAATGGAAAATCAACTGGCTGAATTAGGGCATGAATCTGGTCCCAATATTTCTTTACTTTCTTATAGGTCCATCTTTTTACATCTGTAATAATTTGTCAGGCATTTACAACAATATATCCTTTTGTAAAAAACTTCTTTTAGGTTATAATTCAATGTAAATTTCAGCCCTTTCATCCACATATTGTTCAAGAATTATATTATCACCACTGAATCATACAGTGCTTAACATTAATTTTCCAGCTTCAACTTGAACAACATTTTGTAAACCTGTTCCTCATTAGCATACAATACAATTTCAAATTCAATTTTACAGCTTCAAGATCATAACTTTTCTTACCTCAATTAAATTTTAATAAAATTATAATTTTATTAATCTATTAATTTAAGTATCTATCCAACTTTTCACTTTCTTTATGTTTTGTTTAGTGCACTATACTTTGATCCATGCGACTAATGATATTTACCCATTATCTACAGCAGTAATGGCTTTGTTGTCATAAAAGCAGCAGGAGTCTCTGTCAACATTTCTTCTCAACATTCAGATTGAATATTAGAACTTTTTTTAAAAAAAATAGCTTGGCCAGCAGAAGGGAAAGCAATGTCGGTGGAGGAAGCAGCAGTGGTGGGTGCTGAAGGTCTTGCGATGTAAAGTGCCTCTCTGCCACTGAAGCTGACATCCATGCTGCCACTGCCCGCCCACTGACCCAGCCTGCAACCAACACCATACCTGGGTCTGCAGCAAAGGTGCTTGGTGGGGGTAGAGAGCCCTCAATGCTCCACCATGATTGGCCGTTATCAGCAGCTGGTGGCGAAGCATGGCTGCCCACGGGGCACTCTGGGTGAGGGTATGGGAGGGGGAGAAATCAAGTCAACTCCAAAAAGACAGCCTAGCCATTTTGGGGGGGAGGGGGTGAAAAGGCCTGGCCTTATTTTCTGAGAAACACGGTATATATATTGTCACAGTACTTTTCAATTAGTAATGGTATTACATATAAATGGAAATAACGTGTTGAAAAAAAGAAAAGAAAAGAAAAGGGCCACCACACACAGCTCTCCTGAGCTCCATTTTTGCTGGCTGAGGCACTATGGCCTTTTACTTTGTTGTTTCCAGTGCAGCCCCTTGGGCCACATGTAAGCATCCCATGGGCCAAATTCAGGCCACAAGCTTTAAGTTGACACCCCTGTCCTAACGTATGAGTTTGTATCCATAATTTTTTTAGCTTTTTTTGTTTGTCCACCAAAAATAATAAAATGTCCCTCTGTGCGGTTTTCATTGCAAACAAAGACTTAAAATACCTTTATATAGTTTCTTTGGTGACAAAATGCACCCTTTTATAAGAATTCTCACCTTCTCCATGGGGATTGTGGCCATCTGAGGAAATATTCTGGAGATCTTTTCAATGAAGTGTTATGGAAATAACATAAAAAAATGGTCATGTCTCCAAAATAAGACAATATCTAATGGCACTTGTTTTATTCTCTACCCCTTACCCTAGGCCAGGAAGTTTTAAGTCATAACATTACCCCTCAGTGTCAAACATGAGGAGTGGTTGTATTTTCTTAACCTTCCAAACAGATTTTTTTTTAGCTCTAGATGTTTCTTCAATATTTGCAGGGCACCTGTATATTTAGAACAGTTGTCCTAAAGTTTCATTTCTATTCTTCCACCTTGATACTAAATGATTTTTTTCCCAGAAGATCACCTTCTGCATTGGGAAGCTTGAAATTGGAAATGCCAAGCCATTTTCCTCACATTTCATTCTTCCCCCAGCAACCTTTCCAGAAGAAAAGAGCCCTAAAGTTCTCACTAGATGATGATCAATCCTCAATGAATAACCCAGGATTTGAGGCTGAATCAAGTTGAAGAGCTGCTCCAAAGAAAGGAAGGTTTTTGTTTAGCTTCAGATTCACTTCCTCTCACAGTGTCTCTCTCACACAATAATAGACTGCCATGTCTTCAGCTTTGAGGCTGTTCATTTGCAGATACAACTGGCTTTTGGCATTGTCCCTGGAGATGGTGAAGCGGCCCTTCACTTTCTCAGTGTAGTAAATAGTAGATGAACTTGGATGTATATTTGAAATTCATTCCAGTCCTTTCCCAGGAGCTTTTCTCATCCAGTGCATCCAGTGGTTTCCGAAGGTGAATCCAGAGGCTTGGCAGGTGACATGGAGGCAGTCTCCAGGTGTTCTTACAGTCCCTCCAGGCTCCACCAACTGATCTTTAGACTTGCCACCCAGAAAGATGTTAATGAGACCACCAGTAATACAGGAAAATTCTCTAGAGAGACTACTAATAAGAACACCAGGTTTAAGCTCAGGAACATTATTGCTCTGCTGTAATGAATGGAGGGAACTTGATGATGAAGGATTCAGGAAAGTGCACAAGATTTTCATTGGTGTGTGTGACCTAAGAAGGAAAACCAACTGGCTCAATTAAAGGGGAAATTGTCCTTTGATTTACATGTTGCTTTATATAAAAGGGCCTCTCAGTGCATTGATCTCATAGGTTACCCACTACACTCATTGCATGCCTGATTTTCACATAACTTTTAAGTCCTATGAAAAATAAAGGAATCTTTCTCTCTTCTCTTCTCTTCCCTCCTCTTCTCCTCTCCTCACTCTTCCCTTCCCTTCCCTCCTGTTCTCCTCTTCTTTCCTCTCCTTACTTCCCTTCCCTTCTCTCCTCTCCCCCCTCCCCTTTCTTCCTCTCCTCTCATTTCTTCCTTTCTTTTCTACTGTGAATCTATAGAAGAAAGGGCAGGTTTACATGGGAGACATTAAAACAAAGAGTTGTGAAATGTTACCCATTTTCAAAAATGATTTGGAGAAACAGATGAACAAATTGCACAAATAAATTTTGAAAGATACATATTGCAGATGGAAGATAAAACAACAGCACTTCATGGTCCAGGAATATTTTTCCACATTCTAACTATAGAATTCTTTGGAGAATGCAAAGTGGTTTATTAGGATTTCTTAGCCCATGGCAATCGATTGCATTCTTATTACTCCTGCTATTGATATTACTATTGACATTATAATGGGGATGTCATTCTTCATTGACTAATTCAGGATCTGGGGCTGAACAAATTGGCAGAGCTGCTCTGAAGAAAGGAATGTTTTTGTTTGGTTTTAGATTCACTTCCTCTCATTTGTGCCTCTTGCATAGTAATAGACTGTTGTGTCCTCTGGTTTGAGGCTGCTCAATTGCAGATACAGCTGGCTTTTGGCATTGTCCCTCGAGATGGTGAAGCATCCCGTCTGAGTAGTAGGTTTTTCTTCCATCACGAAGTATCCATGATACCCATTCCAGTCTTTTCCCAGGGGCCTGTTTCATCCAGTTCATGTTATAGGTACCAAAGTTGTATTTAGAACCTTGGCAGGAGAGATGAATGGACTTTCCAGGTCTTTTCACAGATTCCATCAATTGTACTCCAGATTCCACCAATTGTACCTCAGATCAGACACCTAAAATGAAAGATTCAGTGATCTCACCTGTACACAACAATTGAATTAGAAAGAACCTGAGTAGATAGGAAATAATTACCTCCAAGGACTAATAGTAGGAATAAGTTTAACTATAGGATCATTTCTGCTTCCTGTAATGAATGGAAGAGAATTGATATGAGATGATTTGGGAAAGTACACAGATTTGGTGCTGATAGCCTGTAAAAAAAAAAAAGGAACCGTCTCATTTAAAGAGAAAATGAGCCTCACTTTGCATATTTGTTGAGATAAAGGAGTTTCTCATAACAGTGACCTCATAGTTTCCCCTCCACACTCCTTACACTGGAGATTTTCATGTTTTTGTGCTAAAAAAATTAAAGATAGCTTCTTTTCTCCTCTCCTCTCAATAATGATTTCAAGGTAACAAATCATGAATATGTACTAAGAATTTGTGAAAGGAATATGTTGAAGATAGAATATTAAAAAAGAGCAGCACAGGAAAGATTTTATGGTTTTTTCTCTTTAACATGGCCTTTTGAAGAAACACAAACCTCATGCACACCAAGGCACATGGTACAATTTATAAGTCAGACTCTAATCAGAGAACACATAGGGAGAAAATAACTAGTTCAAGCTTATGGATTGTTCTTTGCTAATTACATTGGGTTTTACCATGTTTCCCTGGAAAATAAGACCCAGCTCAAAAATAAGCCTTAGCCTGTTTTTTTTAAGGAGTGGGCCTAATATAAGCCCTACCCCCAAAATAGGTCCAGGGGGGATGGGTATAGCCAGCACAAAAAGCAGCAAGAGCATGGATGACAATGCAAAAAGCAGCAACATCTGCAAACTGCCAGCCTCTTGGCATAGCACAGATAAGTCTAACCATGGAGGCAGAGGTGTGGGGGGAAGACACGTGATCTGGACATACTGCGCAGCTACCTGGCTCATGGGAGGCTTGTGCAGCAGCACTGGCAGCAGGCAAAGGCATTTTGAGGGTAAGCAGGAGACCTGGATGTGCTGTGCCAGTTTTATGGATTGTATATATTGCTCCTTCTTGACTGCTGTTTTGTGTGGTGCTTTTTTGTGTGGTGCTTTTATTAGTTGTTAGTTGCCCAGAGTTGATTTGCCAATATAGACAGTTTTAGAAATGGAAATAATAGTAATGACAGTAATGTTACTTATACCAATACTAATAAAATACACCAAATAAGCTGTCCCTGTAGACTGAGTTGTACTAATAAATCACTCTATATTTTCCAAATAATTAAATATGCTCTATGTTTAACAAATAACAACTACTGTAAACTCAGATATGAATTCAGGTTGAGGATATTTTTAATACAAATCTTATTAAATGTTTTACAACAAAACAAAGAAATCAAGAGAAAGTGGTAGAGAGTTAGAAGAAAGGAAGGAAGAAGGGAGTGGGAGGGAAGGATGAAGAAAGGAAGGAAAAGATGAAACATGCAGAGGGAATGAAAAGAAATATAAAATAGAAGCCTCTGATTTCTTCTGCATCAAATATAAGTGCATATACAATATTAA